CTGGTTAGCTGATTGGCCTATGTTGGTGATAGACGGGCCAAATAAACCAATCAGATCAACGAAGCATATGACGTACTAACAGAGCGACGACGAAAACACAACCTTAAGCCAGGCTACTCTTGCTGCTCTTGCCGAAACCAGTCGGGCGAAGAGCAAAAACATCTTTTCCTCTGAGAAAAGCCTCCAGACCATGATTTGCTCTTCTTTCAGTGAGGAAATACTGTTTAATTCCGATAAAACTTGCTCGATAGCCACGCTAACGCTAGTTTCATCAGCTGAAGCCGCCATGTTCTTTAGACTGTCGCGCTTCTCGTTGCGTCTCACCTCAACCCGCCCCAAAGCCAACGCTGATTGGACGTTCGTTTGCTGAACGGCTCCAAACAGATCAGGATGGTCTCACAAGGCTACCTTAAGCCGGGCATAAACTGTACAATTTTTTGCCCTTGTCGGGACGATTCTCCAGTCATGTGCAAATTTTTCGATCGCCAAACTTTCAGCCTATCGTGCATCTTGTAGTGTACAGGGGGTAAAGGGCAGATTATACTTTTGCAAATGCACGCATCAAATGTTGCTTGCGTCTGGTCGCGAACCAGTTTTTCTAGTATGCTTCTGCACCATCTGTTTGGAATTTCTAGGGACACACAGCTGTTTCCTGCCAAAGCACAAAGAGGAGCCTATTCGAGAACTCGCCAGAACTTCGGCGGATGGTCACGAGAACTTCGGCGGTGCCGGCGGGAGTGTTTATCTTCCAAAACAACAATGGCCAGTCTGCAAGATATCACGGAATCTAGAGTTGCTAGACATTGGAGAGGATATATTAATTTATATAATTTGCCTGAGGCATCGTACAAGTGGTTGTACTTCCGAACCTCCTCGATTGACCTTTAGGCGGAGTTGTCCATTGTAGTTGTTCCTTGGTTTTAAAAAATGGCGTGCCCCGGCAACAAATCGAGAAGGACATCCACACAAACATCTGGAAAGCCATACCAAAGACCAAACACAGCTGCTTTTTGTCTGCACCATTCCGCTCGAGAACTGCGCGGGTTTGCGACCGTCCGGCGCATAGTCAGAATTTTTTTGAGGTTCACGATGATGGTTGATGGAGAGACAGATTTGACAGTTGTAGAGGCTATGCATCAGAAGCATAAATTGGCCTTAACGAGTGGCAATCAGCCTCTCACGAGCACCTCCCAATAGGGGGCGCAGCATAAAATTTCAATGCTACTCAGGAGCGAAAACCCGAAAATCCGACATGTCTAGAAACTGAAGGCTCATTTAAACCAGTTCATTAGCTTACCTGCACAGTTAATTTTTAAGTGACAGTTTCAATTTAGTAATTTGTTTTAACTTTTTTAATTAAATAATGTTTTATTAAATGTTTTTGTTATCTTGTGTTTGAATGGTATAAAAAAAATCTAGTTTTATACTATACATATTTAGACATACAAGGTCTATAAACAAAATGTGAATTTCCAAATCAACTCTTAAGGTATTTTCTAAATCCTAACCTGTTTTACAAAAGGAAACCTAATTAGCGAAAGCTCAGATAAAACAGTACACCTCCCAGAGTGGAATAATAACAACAGCTGTTGATGTAAACGTACCCGGCAGTCTCTTTGCAGGGTCTTCATCAAGGCATTGTAGGTGTCTGAGTCAAAGTACAGTCCATCCTGGTGCATCTCCTGGAAGTCCAGGTCTTTAAACGTAGGAGAGTCTTTCACACGCTCTTTGCGTGAAGCGCGGCGTTTGTACGAGGAGCCCTTCAGGTCATACTTGAAGTGCATCTTCATGGCTCGGGGCAGAACATTGTTCATCACCACCACACGCACTGTGACTCCGCCGCACTGGATGCAGTAAAGGCCGTAAAACTTGGGTAACAGCGTCCTCGGGTTCTGATTCAGATTCTACATGGAGAAAAAAAAAATACAATGTTTTATAAGTTTATTTGGTTGATATATTTTTAAAACAACCATTTAAACAGAGACACATTTTCCTCTTTTCAAATCTTTTGACAAACTAAAATGTTTCAGGTGATTAAACAAAGTTAACCTCATTGAATAACACAAAAACACTTTCACTTCACTGTTCTTTGTGTTTTAATAAAGCTCCATTATAGGGTTAGCAAACACTGACAGCATTTTTAAAGTCAAACCCAGAGTCCCTGATTTAGTTTTTGCTTTGAGACATTCAGAGGGGATTTCTTGGCATAATTGTGATCATTTGTCGTGTTTCTATTCAACTGAAAAGTGAATTTTCAGCAAACTTTCAGGAGTTTGAAAAAAAGTAAATGCAAATTTATGGTGTTTCCATTTATTTAGATGCAACTTAATCAAGCACAGCAAAACATAATGTCGTCATACGTCGTTGTGCACATGAGAAAATGAACTGATGGTACGGATCCTGCTTCTGGTACGGGTCAGGTAGTGACACTGACCACAGATCAGTAATGGAGGAAAGTTTTGATGAATGTATCGCTTTCAGGGCAAGTGGTTCTTATGTTAACCTGTCTTCTATTGATGGCGATGTTAGTTCCAGCTGCGTTTAGGTGAATAATAGGAGCATCCAGGAAGACTTATAACGATAAAAGCTGTTCAATCAAGTGAGGTTAAAGGTCGTTACGTCAGACTTGATCAACCTTTTTTTTGCAAAAAAACAAAAAATACCTCAAGCGAGCGTAAAACTATTTCTTTGAATTTGAGTTATTTTAATTTTTTTTTTATCTGCCATTTCCATAAAGCATTTCTGATGCAATATTACATGTTTAATCGTTGCATAATTCATGTAGATTTGAGCATTACGTCATACATTGATTAATATTAGGGAGCAGCTGATCAACTGTAGAAAGCCATCTGGGTCCTGAGGAAGCAAAGGATACCAAGACTATCACACTACCACCACCGTGCTTGACTGGTAGAGTGTGTTGGTGAAGATTCTCAGTCATCCAGGTCATATCATTCCAAAAAAAGTAAAAAAACAATTCCACTGGAGCA